AATAGCAAATTAAGATTGATGAGACACCAGACATTTCTTATGATTTCGTAAAAGTCATTTATTTCATTGACAAACATTGGTCTCATCATACAGTTGAAATTTAATTTAATCACACAAAAAACTAGAATAGTCTATAAATGCAATGGTTTTATCAAAGCCCATAGTGGTAGAATTTGATTGATGGGGTGGAGAAAAACAGAAATCTAACAAATCACTCATTGAAAAGAATGCACTGTTTGTCTAAACCAGTAGGGGAAAATCTTACAAATACCACTATGGAGCAAGTAAGAAGCACAACTGTGTTTCTTGGACAATTGTTTCAGCAGAAACCTAAAATTATTTTAAAATAGGAATACAGTGGGGTCTTGACTTAAGAACGGCTCGAGTTAAGAACATTTTGACTTAAGAACCGCTCTCACAGGAAAATATTGACTTGACTTAAGTACTTAGATTTGAGTTAAGAACTGAAAAAAAAAACACGTGGGAGGCAGGGAAAGTGCAAAATTTGAACTTTCAGTTAACTGTTGGCCAGTGAAAAGGGTGCCTGTCTGCTTCCTCACTCCTCCCAGAGTTTAGAGAGTGGATTGGGAGACAGTCTTCGGACTGCTTGGTACTGTACTGCCTGGACTGTATTTTCCCTGCCTTCCCTGAACCTTTCTTGACCTAAGAAAAAAAGAAACAAAATATCCCCCCTCTAGTGGTCGAAGGCGGAATAGCAGCTTCCCATTAGTTTCTATGGACGGAAAAGAGCAGATACGGATCAAATGGTTTTCAATGCATTCCTATGGGAAATGCAGATTTGACCTGAGAACTTTTTGACTTGAGAACCGCCTTCCAATACGGATTAAGTTCTCAAGTCAAGACCCCACTGTAAATGAACAAAAAAAGGGAACAATCTGACCTCCAGGTTTCTAAAATTTTGTTTTGGGCTAATTCTTGTGAAGAATTTGGGAAAAGGGGGGCGGGGAGATGTATAGGTATAATGAACTACTTTTCCAGTGTTCAACTATCAACTTTTCAGATCAGTCGCAGTTTATAAAAATGCGGGAGAAATAGGACAAATACCTCCCTTAAATATTTTTCTTCTATGAACACTAGAATGCAGTAGCAAGTTTGCTAGGGCTTAATCAACAAAGTGCTACACCAGATATACCTTGGATGACAATTTGCCCCAGGGGTGAGCAACTTGTGGGCCACCAATCCTTACTAAGCCACGATTTCCATCAGGACTAGCCAGCACGGTCAATGATAAAACATGACGGGAGATACAGTCCAAGGATATCAGGCAGGCCTCACATTCACCATGCCTGGATTAGACATTTTCATTTGGATACTATATCCAGCCCATATATACAAACCTTTCACTGTCCATGAAACACATACTCTTTTAATGTAAAGACTTTAAAAATCAAGATTTACTGCTATATGAAGTTGTAAAAGAGCGGAAATAACACATTAAAATTAAAATGTTACTTTAAATGTGTTACTTTTTAAGACCACAACCTGAAGAAGGCTCTTGAAATCTAATCTTAACATTTTTAGAAGTAACATTACTGGGCAGCTTACTCCTTAAATGTGTTAAACACCACAGACTCTTGGTTCTGTTAACGAAAGCTTCCGAATGTTGTTTCCCAAGCACTTTATAGGGCAAAGGTTGGGTTACCAACTATAAACCTCATTTTCAAAGGGAGAAAGGGGTCCTTTTGAGGACAGGCAATGTCAATTACAACAGAAAGTGTGTAATTAACATGTTAATAATGCTAATTTAATGAGTTACATATTTTCAATTCTATGCATTAAAACCAACAAGAAAATTTCCCAGTTTCTAACTTTTAAACTTTAATTAATTCATTTGAAAACTAAACACCTTAAGCTCTGTGAAAGAGCCAAACGTACCTTTTTGGTACCTTTTAGTGGGATAATTAGCTGAATCTTAGGCAGTTTTTCAGGTCTGAACCCTCCTCTACATGAACTGTTTTGGAAAACTTTCATTTCCCCGTTTCAGATACATGCTCACATTCTCGACCCCTCTTGGAAAACAAAAGCTATATATATATTTTTTTTCCTGAGTTAAGGGTTCTGAATTTGGTCACTGCATGCATTGTATAGCAAAACTACACAGATCTATGCTCTACCGCAGGGGTCCCCAACCCCCAGTACGCAGCCTAATGCCCGTACATGGGCTGCAGAGACAGATTCCCCCCCGCCCGCACACATGGCGGGCGTAGTGCGTTCACGCACATGCGCAAGTGCATTTGCGGGTGGGCGCGTCATGCTTGTGCGCATCCCACTCACCAACCATGCCTATCCATGCCCACCCACAAGTGTGGGGGTGCCTCCGCCCCCCGCGCATAAACCCCAACCCCCCCAACCAGTTCGCGGTTCCGAAAAGGTTGGGGACCACTGCTCTACCAGATAACAGTGCATCACCAAATCATGGCATGGAAATCATGATCTGCTGCTCACTGTGTTCCTCAAATCATATACCAAGTCGTTCCAATCAATTTTATCAGCCTTCTGTTATATAATTTCCTTGGGACAACATGGTACAATAAGTGTTAAGACACAAAACAGAAAGGACAAAGCTCTTGTCCTTTCTCTTTTGAGTCTCAATGCACTGGGAGATTAAAAACAGACATCTGACAAGATGTTTCGAGGATTGAACTGAATTCAAGAATTGGGACCATTCAAACCCTGTAGCAAATATATTCTCCTCAGGCTGGCTTGATCATGGCCTATTTGTGTGAAAACCTGAAGCAGCAAAAAGTCAATTAGTGAAGTATTAAAAGAACTAGAAACAACTGTCTTCTTATTTTAGATACAGAGAGAAAGGTGGCATGTAGAGATACATACTAGGGATAGTATGGCAATATATTCACATTTTATTTCACATTGCTCTCTGCAGATGACAGTGTTTATCCCAGATCACACAAAAACCAGCTGTTCAGAACACTGAAGGTTTTGTTTTTGTGATCACAAACCCAGGGTTGTTTGTCGCCTTCAATTCCTGAAGCAGTTTTTCCATTTATCTATTTTTTAAATTCATTTATACATATTTGCTTAAAATGATGGTACCAACTCAACATTTAAATAGATACAGGGATTCAGACAAGATAAAAAGGGACACACTGTGCCTGGCGTACTGGTTAAAAGGAAAAGACTACAACAGCATCTGATTCAGAGGTTAGTTCATGTGTAGATGATAAAGAGTCATCAGGGAAGGAGGAAAAAGAGTGGGGCAAGAAGTCGTAATGCACTGATTTCTAACTATGTCAGTAGAACTCCCCCTGCTGACTTAGTGAAACATAGCTTTAAAATGTTGCATCCATCCTGAGAATCAGAGTTTACAACTTTATGTAAAGATTTACATTGATGTTAGTGACTCAAAAGCGTACAGATTTATGTTAACTTTCAAAGTCAGTTCTGATCCCATAAGGGAACAAGAACATATGCATATTGGGGAAAAACAATCAATTTTTGCAAATTCCCAGCATCTCCCAATTCATCTTGTTTTGTAAGGTTAACAAAGACAAACTGGTTTATCTTTATGTTAAAATGTTCACCTCCTGTGAGATTAGTTTTCTAGTACCAATTTTTAAAAAGCCTAGGAAGAATTAACCAGATAGGGGGCAGCAAGAATTACTAGTTCAGGAGGAATAGATTTCAAAATTCATAATAGGATGAAAAACTGGACTAAATTCTGCAGAAGGCACACACAGCACAGTATTTCATTCTCTTTTTACTCTTGTTTTCTACATTGTGTCTTAACATTGCATCAGTAAATAATGGTTAATAAGCTTAGCTATGAATATGCCTTAGCTGCCTGATGATCTCACAGGATAAAACTGGCTGACCATTCAGCTATTTACTAAGAGATGGAGGGGTGTGTGTGCATTTTTACCAGACACACACAAAAATAAATGTTTGTATTATCATCTTATTCGTCATCATTACAACTTACAACAAGGAGTCTGTTTTGCAACTTAAGAGAAGATGAATAATGAGGGAAAGTTATGAAAAGAACAAGGCATACACACATGACTCCTTGCATATATGAAGTGCATCGGTTGGGAATAAGCCCTTGACCAAGCAGATCATTTTCCAGTTAAAACTGCCTTAAAGTCATCTAGCTTTCTTTCATCTTCACTCAAAATAGATCTGATCACAATCTGGGCAATCAGCAATTTCCTCATAAATGAAATAACCCAGAAACTGAAATTTTCAATCTAAAAACTATATAATTTCTTTTTTAAAAAAAGAGTTCAAGGCACAGTGGTATTTCAAAGCATTTACCATCAAACCTTGAGTAGTAAAGAGAAAGTCCAGACAGCTGCATAGACGGGATCACAACGTGAAATGCAATTTCAGAGTGCAGAACCAAGTGGTTTTTATGGAATAATTATAATTACAACTAGTATATGTACATGTGTTAACTAACCCTCTGAAAACACTCAGCCGGTCATGGTGGTTTCAATTATGATGGGCTTTACAAGTCTTTACAACCTGGATTTTAAAAAAATGGTTTTTAACAGCTCTTCCTTCCATCACCCAGAAGTATGACTATAGGTTACCCATTTTCCAAATCAGAGCTTCAACAGTTTTTTTCCTTTAAACTATAATACCCAGAATACCCTATCCAGGAGGCTTAGTGCTGGGTTAGGTGGGTTTCTGGGTACCCCTGTCCAAAAAATTAACTTTTCCCAAGCTTTGTACTGCGCCTCAGATGCACACATGCATGTCCATATACTTGGGCACACAGAGTACCTTCCCTTCCAAATTCTGAAACAAGCTGTTTGGTGTAGCATCTCTCATATCCCTGGGCAGATCTTCCTCCATAGCTTCTGCAACTGCCCATTTGCACAAGACAGAGCACCACTATTCTTATTTTGTACGCATTAAAAATGAAACAAAAGAGTTGACATTTATTTTCTCAGTTTGTGTGAGCCGGTCATGCTTGAACAAACATAGCTGGGGAAACCATACAGGGTTTTTTTGGGGGGGGGCTAATTCCTCAGGGTATCGCTGCCGTTGGTTCCCAGATATGAGCTAATACTAGCTTATCTGTTAAGGTATCAATGTTAGACAGACATTATATAAGGAAGGGAAGGGGAAGTAGGCACACAACCAGCAGTACCTCAGAAGCCACCCACTGGGGGTGAACCTTGGTGAAATGGAGATGCAGTTTGCCTGTTTCACTGAGTGGAAGGCCTCTTCCCTGCCTGAGTTATAGATAATTTGGACGGTAGTCTGAGATATTAAACCTGGTGCTTTTTGTTTCAGGCAAATGTCAGGTTGTCTGTTCTAAGGTGGCCTCGAGGTATAGAAAGAGCAGGAACACAGGCTCTCAATCCACACTGTACATGCAGAACAATGCACTGAGCACCACAGTTTCACAACTTTCCTCTTAACAATAAAGTCAGTTTCAAAAATAGGCCTAGAAACTAAAAATGGTAGTAAACCTTTGAGAGCAGGAAGGCGGATGGAACGGATTTGTACTCTGTTTCATGAAGTCCTCTCTTCCATCGATCAGGGAGTATGGAAAAAGAGTGGCTTTCATTCCAAGTTGTCCAGATCACTTCAAGGAGGTACCTAGCAGCATTTTTAGGGTTAAGAGCATACATCAGGACTGTGGGGAGTGTCTGGGAAATCAATAATCTTCTCTTTTTCCTGACTTTCCTGCTTTTAAAAGAATCAACCAGGCCATATTATTTTCCCTCACGAGGGCTGGTGTATCCTCTAGCTCTTCTTCACTCAGCAGGAAATTGCATTTTTCTTTCACTCAACTGCAGCACTTCAGTGACACATCCTTGCTGTCATCTCTTTCTGTAAAACAAAGGGAGGAATTGAAAGTTACAGGTCACCAGTCAAACAGGCCAGAAAAGGGGTGCTCAGTTCTGCCTTTCACACTGGAGCCCAGAGCAAACATTGACTATATGCATCTCTGTGCAACACACTCTTCCTCCTTTCCACAATCTTCAACGGCAAAATCCATAAGTGGCCATTCACATACAATCCTTTATCATCTCAGCAACTTTAATGGGTTATTAATTTGCCTTATCCAAGTATAAAGTATAAAGCAAAAAGCTTTCCAAGCTGCTAGAATGAGATTCCAAGTGTACCATTAAGCTCCCTTCAGATGTTACGTTTCCATCAGGGAGTGGCATTTACTTGAGATCACGGGGTGCAGTAAAATCTTGCCTCTGAAGGGATAAACCTGAAGCAAAAAAAATAAGCTTGCAAACATTTTATAGCGTAATTTGTGCAGAACTCTTGAATTCTGCTTTTTTTTTTTACTCTATCTATTTTGAGTTATTTCCCCCTCCAAATCTTTTAATTTAACATAATCCACCCCCAATTCTGCATTTGACAACACGGTGCCCTCCAGATGTGTTCAAAAGCAACTCTCAGAATGCCCACCAGCTGTGGGCACCATGATGGGAATGGCTGTCTAAGTGGTGCAACCATGGATGTGCGCGTTAGTGATCATCCCCTGGCCTGAGCTGCAAGGACATATGTGCTTGGATTTGGATGCAATTTATGGCTTACAATACCAGCATATACTATTCAGTATATGCTGAATAGTACATGCACATTTATCCCTTCATAGCCCAGGACTATCAAGCACCCCTGATGTCACAATTCATGGGTGGGGGTTTGCATTCAGCCAGTGGTTTAAGAATTTTGCAAGACTAGTGATGTCTTAAGAGCCTCATTGGCACAGTGGTTAAACTGCAATATTGCAGCCAAAATTCTGCTCACAGCCCAGTTCAATTGCTGAATAGTACATGCACATTTATCCCTTCATAGCCCAGGACTATCAAGCACCCCTGATGTCACAATTCATGGGTGGGGGTTTGCATTCAGCCAGTGGTTTAAGAATTTTGCAAGACTAGTGATGTCTTAAGAGCCTCATTGGCACAGTGGTCAAACTGCAGTATTGCAGCCAAAACTCTGCTCACAGCCCAGTTCAATTTCAGTTAGCCAGCTTGAGGTTCACTCAGCCTTCCAGTTGAGTACCCAGCTTGCTGGGGGGCAGGCAATGTGTAGCCTGCATAATTAAAATTATAAACTGCTCAGAGAGTCCTTTAAGCACTATGGGCAGTAAATAAGCAGCACACTTTGCTTTAAGACAAAAGGCAACCAGAAACCAATTCATTCATTTTACACTGCAATGCTGATAATATATATATATGGACACATAATTATCATCATTGTCATCTTAGAACTGCGGAGGTAGAAGGGACCCTATGAATCCCGGTCCCTGTCAAGGAAGCACAGTGGGGGAATTGAACTCTCAACCTCTGGTTCCATAGGCACCACTGAGCTATCCAGCAGTTCTGAATTTTCGAATTTTTCATACATAAAGCCCTTGTTTTAACATCACTTTTACCTAAATCCTTCTTTTCCTCATATATCTTGGTTATAAGGAATCAAATTTAGACGAAAGGAAATTGAATATTGAGATGTGAAGCTTCTCATCAAACTGCTGGTCTTATCATCACCTAGTTTCTGGTACCTGGTTTGTTTTTCATGCTACTTAGAGGTCTACATCCACCTATGTGCAGAGCAGAGACAAATGGACTGCTCCCTTCGCTACTCTTCCTGTTGCTCGAGGCAGGCAACTAGACTTTCTGCCCTATAGACTCATCGGGCGGGGAATGCTATTTTCCTTTACCTACAAGAGCGGCAACTGCAGTGGTGTCAACTGGGCATCCACTGCTGAAATCTGATGCCTGCAGTGGCAGGTCAACGGCACAACCTCTGACGAGTCCAACATGGCCTCACCTGACTGTCCATTCCTAATCTAGAGAAAAAGTAAGTAAAACTGGTCCATTTGCCAGTTTAGGATAGTTAATCCAGTACCAATTATAGTCCAGAATGCTAAAGTACAGGAATCTTGCTGTGATCCAGAAAGAGACTACTGTAAATAAGTTATTGAATAAAAATAAATAATCAGAATTGCATGAGACAGACAGTGAGTATGAACTTCCCATGAGTTATCTTCACTCAACACCTGCCCACCTTCAAACTACTTTTCCAATATTAGACGCCAGGCTATCTTCTCCAAATATTTCTTTGTTTCCATTCTTCTTTTTTAAAAAATCCTGTCTATCGAATTTTTGAATAGTTGCTTTGATATATTTGGACGGCACCATATTTTCTTAAGTGCCTGATAACAGTTACTTGGACTTACTTACAGTACAGGAAGCACTGTCCTAAAATGAACAACTGTAGTGCAAGTGGAAATTAACTACACGCTGGATTTACGACAGAATGGCACACTGGAAAAAGTAACAGAGCCGGACTTCTTCATGATACTTCGACCATTCTCAGCTGTTCCAAAGAATCTGCTGAATATCATCTGCTCTTCCATTTTGTATTTTGATTTAGAACCACTGGGTGGTGCCATAACTATGGCTGTTGCCATTAGATCAGCAGAGGAAACGTGATTCCTTCTCTTCCCGGCCTATTCCTCCCCCCACCAAAACACACAAAAAGAGAAAGGCAAAAACCCCAGTCTCTGGGTAACCCCAAATCTTATTAGCCAGTCACAAAAGATGATTCTTCTATAGGTTTCTGCATGCTAATGTCTAGTTCAAACATTCTCTTATGTGTAATGTGCATCTAGATTTCCTATACGTCCTACATCTGTAACACTGGGCAAGCAAATAAGTAATGCCACTGGAAGAAAGCTGCACTTGGAAACAGTCTCTAATCCACTCCACAAGCTGTACTGCTAAACCATCAGGAGTCAGCCACATAGTCCCAAATATCTGTGTTCAACATGGTCATAGCCAATTTACTGCAACTCGCACGGTGGAAAAAGAAATGCCAAGGAAGGAAGTGAGACACTGAATGGTTCTTGATTTGGGTTAAACAAACACCCCATCTCAAAACCCGTGTGAGATTTAGATGTCCTTGACAAAGTCTGGGTTTCTTTAGTCCCGTGCACAGATTACTCATGTGTTGGCCTGCAGTGAAATGGGAGTGAGACCATCCTTACAAAACAAAACAAAGAAATAAATATTTGACAGCTTTAAACAGATTGATTTCAGTGGCGGTCCATGCGTCATCTTTCTCATATGACATCCATGGTTATTTGCTGAGCTTCAAGGCATGAGTGGCTTGCGAACAGTAGGGGCTTCTGCACATCCAAAAGAAGTACTGGGGGTAGGATGAAAAATGTGGCTAACTTCTAAATGTCCCTTCTAAATTTTAATACAGTACTCACGAAATGGAACAGCTTTACCAAATAAACCATGGAGACTATGTCCCTAAGAGTCCGCCTTAGATCAGTTTAGGGACTCTTTTGATCACAACCTGGAAGTAACACAATTAAAATTAGCATACTTACCTGTGGCAAGATACCCTTTTTGTGCAAAAACAAAGTCACATTTTGAAAGTAATGTTCTGGGTGTGAATGTCTATTACATTCTAGTTACTTCTACTCCTGTAGTTACTTCTGGAACATCATTTTTAACAGCTCTGTTAGCATTTTAGTGGAATTTTTTTAAGCTTCATGCCATTTTCTTATCAATCCTGAGCAGTTTTTTTAAAGCAGTTAAAACATGATGAAATGTAATGAACAATGCTCCAGGCTACTGTACACTCATTGTAATAATAGTTCTCAACACTGTAATAAGTAATTTTGCAAGTTCTGCTCTTAACAAGTTCTCATGCTCTTTCTGACCGGCATGAGATCAAGGGACTCAGATGAGTCTGTGTGCATGCGCAAGTGGATGCATTGGTTCTTAACCTTGGGTTACTCAGGAGTTTTGGACTGCAACTCCCAGAAGCCTTCACCACCAGCTGTCCTGACTGGGGTTTCTGGGAGTTGCAGTTCAAAAGTATCCGAGTAACAAAGGTTAAGAACCACTGTGTTAGTGGCTAAAAAAAGATGATTCTTCACTAGAGGATAGACCTGGAATTATTTGGAGTCAGATAAACAGATAAGAATCCCTTTATCAGTTGCAAAGGTAGAAAAACTAGGTGAGACACTTTTGTGCCAAGGTAAGTGATGACGATCTTTTACACAACCTTTAAGGATATCCTGATTGGACTACAGCCTGTCTCTCAGAGAACCACAACAGATTGCGAAAAATGAAGAGGCAAATGCCAGGAATATATTACCTTCACAACTATTTTGGGCCAAGTCTGATTGGTGTAAGATTAAATAGCCACACACTTTTGTCTGCAGATTAGTATATCTGAAAGTGGAGATTATATACTGTTTATCTCCTAGAGAGCTTTGGCTATTGCACAGCACAGAAAAGTAATAAATAAAGAAAATCTATGTGGATGGAAGAAGAATGAGTGGATGAATATTTGTTATAAAACAAAGAAAGCTCAACTTTCTGAACAGAAGGAGAAAGATTATCTGGAATACTGGCAGGCAAGCATTTAAAAGAGAAGAATTCACATTTGAACATGGAAGGTAGAGGAGAGGAGCTGAGACAGAAAAGCAGGCATGACTGATGGAGAATTGCTGTAGTGGATGATCCCACGCAAATATCCTACACAAGCAGACGAATGAATGGGGCTCTTCTCACCCTTCTAACAAACAAAGATGTAATATCAGTTGAAAAGAAGTCTAATTTGCTGTCTCAAAATCTTTTTCTATTGGCCTAAAACCAAATGAAAGTCCCAACCAGAACTGGACCATTTTATCAACTGCTGAATGATGCAAGAACACATATTTCTGTCCCACTGATTCAATGGGTCTACTCTTGCTGAAGTAACCTACCAATTTAAGGCCTTTGTGTCATTTTGAGTATAAACTAAAGAAGAGAGATTATCATCAACCTATGTAAGACATGCTGGGA